CCGCCTTGACACCCCATGGGAGTGGATTGAGAGATGCGAGGCTGCTTTCAGACAACTGAAGCATGCGTTGACGCATTACGAAGTCTTAAAACTTCCTGACCCTGACAAACCATTTATAGTGACTACAGATGCTAGCCAATATGGCATAGGCGCCGGACTTTCATAACAGGAGGGGAAAAAGTTGAGGCTAGTAGAGTACATGTCCAAAAAGATGCCCTCTCAGAAGTTGGCCAAGTCCACCTATGAGAAGGAACTCTATGCGGTTTACAAGGCTCTGACCCATTGGAGGCACTACCTCCTTGGGAGGTTCTTCATCCTCAGGACTGATCATCAGACCCTGAGATGGATGAGAACTCAGCCAGTACTCTCTGATGCACTCAAGCGTTGGATCGAAGTCGTTGAGCAGTATGACTTCTAGCCCCAAGTACATCAAGGGCGAGTACAACAAGGTTGTTGATGCCAGACCGGGTTACTCTGGTGCGCTGATCACTGAGTTTGGGTTTGCGGACAGTGTCACTCAATCCATGGTGGAAGCCTATCGCGAGGATCAGTTTATATCATAAATCATACGCAGACTACAGGCGAAGGACAAAAAAACTTCAGCCGAGTTGAGTTGATTAACGACTTGCTGTTCCTTGAGAAGGCAGGGAATAAGCGTTTGTGTGTCCCGAATAGCGAGTCTTTGCGTAGTTTGTTTTTAGGTGAATGTCATGACGCCACCGGCCATTGTGGGTATCAGAAGACCGCATCCAATCTGCTGCAGCGGTTCTGGCGGCCCACGATGATGCGAGACGCCCAGCTGTACGTGGAGACTTGTCAGGTATGTCAAAGAGACAAGCCACGTACTCAGGCTCCTCTTGGGCTCCTGAAGCGCCTTCCGATTCCGGAACGGCCTGGTGAAAGTCTGTCCATGGACTTCATGGATACTCTGGTCAAGAGTGGGATGCGACATATCTTTGTCATCGTGGATAGATTTAGTAAGTATGCTAGGTTAGTAGCAATGCCGGAAACGGCAAGGACGGAGTACGTAATTAGAATGTTTAAAGAGAACTGGGTCAGGGATTTTGGCTTACCGAAATCCATTATCTGTGACAGGGATGTCTGATTTACCAGCGAACTGTGGAAGGCCGCTGCTGCAGAGCAGGGAACCCAGTTGCAAATGACTTCTGGGAATCACCCAAAGGCCAACGGCCAAGCTGAGCAACTGAACCGCGTTGTACAGCATCTGTTAAGGCATTACATCAAGCCTAATCAGGTGGACTGGGATAAGAAGCTTGCTCTCATCGCCAGTCTGTACAACAACGCGGTACACAGCGCCCTCGGGGTGAGCCCGAACAGTTTGCTATTGACTTTTCAGCCTAAACTACCCTTAGATTTTCTCCTTCCTGAGAATCAGTCAAGTGTTTCACAAGGTACTTTAGAATTTGCTTACCGTTATGAACAAAAGATGCAGCAGGCTGTAGAACAGATGCAAAAGGCACAGGCGGCTATGATAGAATCTGCAAACAAACACCACCGTGAGTCTTCATTTCAGGTTGGGGACAGAGTCTGGGTTAAGTTCTCAGAACTGGGACAAGAGCACGGGATCTCCCGCAAGCTCATGCCACAGTACTTTGGACCATGGGGAGTCTTAGATATTGTAGGGACTGATCCGGATGGACCTTCTTACGTAATCCGGATCCCTGGTCATCTCCGTACTTACCCTGTCTTTCACGCCTCCAAGCTGGCACCTTTCAAAATGACTGCTCAGTTTCCATCTCGTCGCTCAATGTTGCCCCCAACCATGGTTGGAGAGGTGGACATCGATGACATCGTGGACCATAGAGAGCTGCCGGTATCAAGACCAACAGGCAGGGGACGTCCTCGGAAACCGAAGTTGCAGTACTGCGTTCGGTTCCGGCATCACACTGATCCGAAGGAGGACCGCTGGTTCACCAGGGAGGAACTCATGCAGACCGCTCCGCTCGTTGTAGCCCATTACGAGAAATCTCTGCAGAAGGGAAAGCGCCCAATGATTGAAGACTGAGCTTCTCAGAGGACAGTTGAAGCTATGGAGGAGGGAATGCGAGGCCACTGCCTCTATAAGCTCCATTCAACCCCTTTTCAGAAGCCTATCGGCCGCCCTAAGTGAAGGCAAGCTTGACGAGGCCCTCAGGGCCCTTTTCTGGACACCACGCAACTCAAGGAAATTCAGGCAGTTGCACAGCGCCAGTTGGTTGAGAGAATCCAGGCCCTGGGCCGCCTGTGTGAATGTATGGAAAGCAGGCCCTGGGCTGGATACGGGTACTGGGCCTGGGCCAAACACAGGCCAAAGGTAGTTGGGTGCAGCAACCACCTCAGGCCCTGGGCCTGTTCTCGTTCGTGCTGGGCCTCAGGCTACCGGGGCCTACTGGAAGCTTCCTGGGACTGGACGCAAGAATGCCACTTCGAGATAGCAAAGAGTCTGCCTCCGCATTATTCATTCGGGTGCTGGCTGCATGCTGCGCTATTTGCTGGCTGGCGCCTACGCTCTCATGGGCGAGCAGCGAAGGAGCACACAGCCATAGTCGAGCTGTGCTGCTGTAAGCTGGGTGAGGCGTAGGGTGGTCCTTGGGTGCAAGTGGCATCTGTGTGTTGGGGAACGAGGTTGTGAGTGTGGCGAGAGACATACCTGGTGCTAGAAGCGTGAGATATTAGTCGCTATATGCTCGTACTTCAAAAAGTTGTTGTCGTCAACATTCGGCATCGTAGTCTAGGCTAGATAGGATTTGTCATCAGTAGTCTGGGCGTCGAGCGCTAGATAGGATATCAACATTGGTTCTTCATTGATGATGATGATGAGACATTGCCAGCATTGTCAATTTTGAGCTCTTGGTGTCTTCTTATTTGGTGANGGATATCAACATTGGTTCTTCATTGATGATGATGATGAGACATTGCCAGCATTGTCAATTTTGAGCTCTTGGTGTCTTCTTATTTGGTGAAACTCGTGATGCAATTCTGCTGTTGGTTCGAGGTCACGACTATCTGGTCTTGTGAATATGATGTTGTATGATTGCTGAAGTTCGCTATTGCTCATTTTTGTCTTGCATATAATATATATATATATATATATATATATGTATGTATATATATGTATATATATTGTCACATGATATCAGAGCGCAAAAACGGAAAAAAAAAAGAAAAAAAAAAAAGAAAAGAATGAATTCGGTTTTTTATCTTCTTCCTTACAACTCCCCCTGTTCAGAACCTCTTGCGTAGTAGGCCACCCACTTGGATGTAGTTTGAGCGGCGACTGCCCCCACCCCCGTGTGCCATATCGACCCACTTGCACACAACCAAAAGGCAAAGAGGCAAAGAAAAGAGGAAGGAAATAACCAACAGCCAAATAATACAGAACAGGGGGCAACAAAACACATCCCAGACGACAAGTCCTACATGCAAGCACAACCCTTGCCCACAGGCCAAACGACGAGACAAGACCAACTAGGATGTCAAACATTCTTGTCTGCCAAAAAATCAAAAAGAGCCCGGAGGACCGGTATAGAAAACAATCCCGGATGACGATTCCCACATGCAAGCACCGCCCCGCATTCCAAAAGGCCGAATTACGGGAAACAACCAACTTGGATGCCAAAACAATAAAAAAGCCCGGATGATTGGTCCCACATGAAGCACCGCTACCTGCTTAGACCGAACAACGGGACAAAACCAACCAGGATGCAGACAAGATTACCACAACAAAACAAAATACCATGGTTGCCACGGACCCGGACATCCAGACACCGGACACCAGGCCCGGACCCGTGTCTGGATTAATCCAGACGCTGGCCACCACGCACCGGACACCAGGCTCGGACCCGTGTCTGATTTTTTTTTTGCGAGTTCTCTATGATGTGCGGTACATGCCTATAAATTTTAGAGTCATTTTGCTAAGCCAAACAAAAATTTAAAATCGCCAAAGATGGCGGTGTCAAAACGTGCTCGCCCACTCATTATTTTGTTTTGTTTTCACTTTTTACTACTTTATTGCGAAGCCTAAACAGTTTTATTATTTTTTGAAACTTCTTAAATGCATTTTGTATTATGTGAATAAGTACACATCTGTAAATTTTCAGGGCATTTGGTTGTGCCAAAAAAAATGGAAAAAAATCGCCAAAGATGGCAGTGTCGAAAACGTGCTCGCTCACTCAGTAATTTTAATTCTCTTTTTATTTTTCTTTTGCATTATTAGCTTTATTTTCTCTATTTTATTTTTATTTCAAATTTGGTAAGTAATTGGATGTAATGCTCAGACAAATGTTGTTTATTTTATTTTTTTTCATAACATTTTGTTTTTTGAATTTTTTTCTACGCTACCAGAGTGGCTCGGGGTCACTTGCCTGGCTGGGCCAAAATATGTTATATAAACTTATATAATATTTTAAATTTGGTAAAGAATTTCGATGTGACCTTGAGTTAAAAGTTGTTCAGTTATCGAGCGGCCTATCTCAGTTGGTAAGGCACGCAAGTAGCTTTCAGGAGGTCTTGGGTTCAATCCCCATTGGCCTCATGTACCTTCCTTGGCATGCTTGGCGCCCGCCACCTAGAGATAGCCTGTTGGTCTCCCCAATTGGCATTAAAAAAACAGTCTCTGCTAATGTTCATAGGGGAAGGGGTAATCGGGGAGGCACAACGACCGGACACTCAGATGATGCTTGGTACCTGTGCTACCGGTTGTCCCCTGGCCGGACTTGTTGATTTCTACTGCCGAGATTGACTGCGAGGCTGTATAGTACAGCGGTAGGATAGATTCGTAATTTTGTTTGGCTGAGGGCTAACTGAGAGACCTACCTGTAAGGGAATTCGTGAGGGACATATCTGCAAATCTGGGGAAAATACCAGCCCAATACTAACTCGACTTCCTACAGCTACCTTAACTGCGTATAGCAAGCCCAGGCTGCCCCTTGGACAGACATACCCTAAGTAACCTATGCTGATAGACGGTCCTATAGCCTATAGCCGGGTCCGGTAGAGGTCGAGAGGCCGAAACAGAAACGGTACCGGTCGGTCAGTCAGTCCGGTATAGGTCTAGTGTAGTCTACAGAGAGGTTAGTACCATCGATGCAGGACTTTTGGCAGTTCATTTCTCGCGAAGCAGCGTTGGAGAAGCCAAGCAAGTTGGTGGCGGTGATTGTCTGCAGGCGGCATCCTGAGACCTCGCCGTTGACAACAGCCATAGCCGGCCCAGCATGAGTCTACCATAGCTGGGGCATCCTCAGTGCATCTACCCCTGGGGGTATCTGCGTCTGGCCGGGCTATATCGAGACTTTACACTGTGTACTCGTGGGTGGTGGCAGCCATAGCTGCCTGTTCCTTCGTCAGAGTTGCCCATCTACACTGAAGACTTCATCGCAGGAYCTGTTCTTCATCAGGGTGGTTGGCGCTGGCCTCTGTGAGGCCAATTTGATGTGGCGCTACTAACTGGGTGTAGGATGGAGAGTGGGGTGTGAGTTCTGAGAGTGGCGAGATACTGTAACAAACTTTGTTACGATATTTGTTTGAGTTGGCTCAACATCAGCGTCATTTCAATTGTTATCCTCGCAGGTTCTACTTGTGATTGGTTGTTGGGAGTTTGTCAGAGAGAGAGAAACACTGTGTGTCTTCTCCCCATCTGTGCATAGTTGTATTCCGCTGCCTACTTTGATTTGTGTATAGTGTGGACTCTGTCTCCTCTCCCCCTTCTCTTATGCATGTATGGGCATGTATGAGACTGTTTGTGTGTGAGTGGCGGTATAAATCGCCAGACAACCAAGATCATAACAGTTGGTATCGGAGCGGGATTGGAATTGGAACACTGAGGGTTGAGCGCACTAAGGCATCTTCTTCATCTGGCGATCAACTGGTGAGAGTTTCATGGCGATTCATCTTCCCCAGTTTTGAATCAGCAGGGAAGAAGACTTTCAGCGGTGGATTCAAGTGTTGACCAAGCGCACTGAGCCTGTCAGGGCGCTTGTCAGGAAGTGGCGAGTATAGGGCTAAGTCGCCATAGCCAACCCTGAGGGTAGTATTGCAAAGTACCCAGAGTGGCGAATTACCCCTGAAGACATCAGGGAACCTTGAGCGACATCGTCCTTGGATAGCGCTGAGGGAGATTGACACACTATATCAATCTCCAGAAGAAATAACCCCATCTGGGGCTATTTTTAGCATCAACGGCTACCTGGCAATGTGGGGAGATATTTTGTTGTTGGCTATCTGGGCGCCACAGGACCAGATATAGTGCATCTGGATTGAGGGAGTGCAGCGCTACAAGATCCTGAGGAGGATCAACAAGTTTGAAGCAGTTCTGTGCGTGGGAGTGTCAGGAGGAATATCTGGAAGAAATTGGCGAGATCAGGGTCATCATCTGCCATAGCCAGATCTTCATCATCACCTGCAAGATTCTCTGGAAGTGAGTCCATTCCATACACCTACCTTCATAGCGATCCAGATAGGATTAGATTAGGCAATTATAATTGGCTATCTGTCTGTCAGTGACTGAATGTGAAAATCGTAGACTGCATGACAGCCATAACCATCTCTCCCCTACCTCTCTCTGCTCATTTCTCACCCTCTCTTGACTCTTTCTGATCCAAAAGTGTTTTGTGACAGCTGTACTACATTGCGATTGATCTAGGATACTCAAATTGTGAATTTTGTATTGGAAAGGTAGTGATACTGTGAATTGCAGTTTTGCGCTGAGTTTATTTATAGCCTATGCTAATTAGGGTCAGTCACAACTTCAATTCTGTCCGTCAGAATTCCATTCTATCAGTCCCCAGTGAATCGCAATCCAAAAATAGACAATATTGCTGAATCGCATGATTGGGTTTACAGTATTTCATTGGATACAGTGAATACTGTACTTCGCCATACCCTAGGGTATGGCCGCCAGAGTCATCAGGGTCTAAATGGGAGTCTGAGCTAGGTTATAGGGTATCTGTCTGAATCGCTTGTTCTGGTTGATCTCCCTTGTCAGTATTAACCATCTTCCATCATTCTCACCGATTACACTTGTTTTCTAATGAGCACTGGAAATCTAGTGTGTCTCTGGAAGAGTAGTGGAGTGTCTACTAACTCCAGTGTGGTGCAGGGTCAATAAAAGGAAATCGTGTGTAAGATTTTGCTGGACTTAGAGTTTGTCTGACACCTGACCCCAGAGACACCTTTTCAACCCAAACCGCTGATTGCCTATACACCCATTTTTTCCAGTGTCTGAGTTTTGCAGCGATTCCAGGGTGTCTGAAGGAATCTGAGTATCGCTGCACACTCAGGTTGTTGTTTTTATTTTATTTTTGATTTTATTTGAAAAAGGAAAATGTCTGGTCAAGGGGCTCAGTAGCAGCCACAGGTGGAAGTGGTGATGAAGGTGGAAGGTCAACAGCCTTCAACCTCCACTCGTCCTCCTCCTACTCTGACTGCTACTCAGCAGAAGGAGTTGCAAGAGCAGCTGCAGCATCAACAGGATATGCTTGCAGCATTGGAACGTCAAGAGGCAGTTGAGATAGAGGCTGCAACAGATAATTCCATAAGGGAATATCTGTTGGAGCAGCTAGACAAGGTGCTCACAGATGATCGTTGTGCCCAGGTGACCAAATACCTGGCAGAGATGATCATCCTGGAGCATAAGATCACCAGTTCTCACTTCAGGAACTGGGATGATCGTTTTGTGCGTTTGGAGTGTCGGGTTGACGACCTGGCAGCTCAGCAATCTAAGATTCTGGATGTGATTCAGAACTTGACTGCTCAGCTGTCAGCCGCCAAGCTGATTGCCCCTATGCTCCCTCTGAAAAAACCCAAACCTAGCTGATTGCCCCTATGCTCCCTCTGAAAAAACCCAAACCTTCTCCTCCTTCTACCCCTCCAACTCCCCCTGGTTCAGTACATTCTTCCCGGTCACCACCTCATTCCCAAAATGCCGCAACCAAAGCCACCTATGTTGCTGTTACAGCAGGGGATCAAAGGGGTCCCAAGATCCCTACACCCAACAAGGTGATGACCCCAAGACTGATGTTGGGGACTGGGCTGCTGGGACTAAAGCCTACTTGAGGGGCTTTATCTGCCCAGAACAGACCAAGGTGGCTATGATTCTGGGGCTGCTGGAGGGACCCGCTCTGAAGTGGGCTACCTCAACCTCCAGCAGCCAACAACAATCGATGGAGGACTGGGCTTTTGGGCTTGGGGTGAACAAACTTCTGTAGGCCTTGGAGAACCGTTTTGCAGACAAGGAGCGGGCTCTCAAGGCTGCTGACAGGATTGCTCGCCTGGGGCAGCGGCAATACAGTGGCACCCTGCAGACCTTGTTTGCTGAGTTCGAGCAACTGACCTCCACCCCTGGGTTGGTCATGTCCACTGCCGATCTGTTGACCAACTTCTGCAGGGCAGCGCCTGAGAAGTTTGTCGTTGCCTTGTACAGCGCTGGGCACAAGGACTGGAGGTCCTTTGGCCGCGCAGCCTTGAACATGGAAGCAAAGCTTCATTTACAGGCCCCATCCTCAGACAGGAGGAAAGGTGCCTTCCCTAGAGGTGGCAGAAAGGAAAAAACAACCTTCACTCATGCGGGATCTGCATCAGGTTCAGATTCAAATTCCCAGGCTGATGCACCTTTAGCTGGGACCGGATCTGTTGCTGATACAGCTGTTGCAGCTGCCCTGAATCAGGCTGTTTTGGAAGTTCTGCAGCAGCAGAAGAAGTTTTCCCCCACCACAGCCTCAGCCAGTGCCAAGGGGAAGGAAAAGGGACGTTGGCCTTCCTCTTCCCAGCACCCTAACCTGCCCAAAGACGTCCGCATGCCAGCTGACCCACTCAATCCCTCCACACTCCCCTATCATGACCTCAAGATCCGGGAGGGAGTCTAGAGAAGAAGGAGAGAGGGGTTTGTCTGAGATGTGAGGGACAACACTTCCTGAAAGACTGCCCTTACATGCCAGACCCGGGTCAGTCAAAAAACTGAAACAGACCCTGGAGACTGCAGTTCCCCCCAGCGCTGTACCTTCATCTACTCACGGGCAGCATCCTTTTGTTATGAGGATCCTGACCCGGATCAGGATTGTTTGGGGACTGCGCGGGCAGAGTCAGATTATTTGGGGACGGCGCGAGCAACATCCTTTTGTTATGAGGATCCTGACCTGGATCAGGACCCGGAGAAGGTTGAGCTTCAAGCGCTTGCGGCCTTCTTCCTTCATCTGAAGGAACAGAAGGAAAGCAAGTCTGATCTCATCATGCTTCGGCCCCTGATCAACCGCACCAGGATCACTGTGCTCTTGGGCTGTGGAGCCACCAGAAACTTCATGTCTCTCAGTGCAGTTAAAAAGCTACATCTGGGCATGAAGGTTCAGCAGATGCAGCAACCGCAGCAGGTGGTGGACAAGTACGTTATTCTGATGCAGGAGCCCTTTGGGTTACCCAACCAGCCAACCAAGCATCACATTGAGCTGCTGCCTGGAGCGGTCCCTCCCAAGGACCGCATCTACAGGATGTCCCCTGCTGAGCTTGAGGAGCTAAGAAAGCAGCTTGAGACCATGACCAGCAAAGGCTGGATCAGGCCTAGCACTTATGAATTCGGTGCACCTGTTCTCTTTGTACCGAAAGGGAACGGCGAGTTCAGAATGTACATTGACTACATGGGTCTCAATAAGATCACTCGGAAGAGTACAGAGTCACTTCCTAGGATCGATGACCTTCTGGACATGGTGCAGGGATGTAGAGTGTTCAGCAAAGTCGACCTCAAATCTGGCTATCACCAAATTGAGATGGCAGAAGAGGATGTTTACAAGACAACCTTCAAGACCAGGTATTGGACTTATGAGTTCCTGGTCATGCCATTCAGACTTTGCAACGCCCCAGGCACCTTCCAGACAGAGATGCACCGCATCTTCAAGCCTTACCTGGACAAGTTCATGGTTGTCTACCTGGATGACATCTTGGTATTCAGCCGAACTGCCAAGGAACATGCGGAGCACTTGACTCTTGTCCTTCAGTCATTACGTGACAGTCAGTACAAGATCGACAGAGAGAAGTCTTCCTTTGGATTGGAGTTCCCTCTGTTATCTCTTTGGGTCATGTAATCTCTGGAGATGGTCTGCTTCCTGAAGCAATCAAGATTGTTGTTATTCAGGAGTGGCCTCAGCCACAGACGGTGAGGGATGTCAGGTCCTTCATGGGCTTAGCCTCATACTACAGAAAGTTTTTCAGGAACTTTTCTGCAGTGGCTGCACCCCTGACCAACCTAACAAAGAAAGGCACTCCTTTTCTTTAGTCCCTCCACTGCCGGTTGACCTTCACACGACTCAAGAAGGCCTTGATTCGTGCGTCTGTGTTGAAGTTACCTGACCCCATTTTGCCATTTATCCTGACCACTGACGTTAGTCAGTATGGCATTGGGGCAGTTCTTCGGCAGGATGATGGGAATGGTCTACGGCCTGTAGAGTTTATGAGTAAGAAGATCAAAACTCAAAAGCTTCAGGACTCTACCTACGAGAAAGAGCTATATGTTCTTGTCTGTGCGCTGAAGCATTGGAAGCACTTTCTTCTGGGAAGGCACTTCAAAATCTTTTCAGATCACTACACCCTGCAGTGGATGAAGTCCCAGGAAGAGTTAAATGACAAACTGACACGGTACATTCAGTTCATAGACATGTTTGACTTTGAACTGAAACATACGAAGGGTTGCTACAACAAGGTAGCAGATGCCCTCTCTCGTAGGCCTGACTCTTTTTCGTTGATCTCCTCTACTCATTCCTTTGGAAAGGAGATCCGTCAGGCCATTGCTCGTCTACTGCCTCAGGACCAAATTTTCGGACCCATAGTCAGGAATCTGCAAGCAAATCTTAACTCCTACTGCATTCTTCTTTCTTTCACAATTCTGCAGTTTTTGGTGAAGAGTCTACCACGTTTGGTTTTCAGCGCACGTGCATTTCTTCATTTTTCATTCTCATTTTCACCCTTCGGACTTTTCCTTTGAGGGTGTTAGGGTGTAGGGTACAAACAAAGTAAAATGACACAAACTTATGTACTTCTTTTACTGCATTCTTCATTATTTTGCAGTTTTAGTGAAGGGTTTCCCACCTTTGCACATTCTTGTACACTCTTTTCAGGGCACCTGCACATTTTTGTCAGGGTGCAAGGTACGTCTAAGTAAGACACTCATGACAGATAGGACAATGGTCATAAGGATGCGGGCGATGGTAGCAGCCCTTCCGCTGATCTACAGGACGAAAACCGTTCGGGTAAGCAACTTCGTCACAGTAGGAGGCAGGGCAGCTGACATTAACCATACCTCTCAAGCCTGCACGACAGAGAGCATGCCGGTTGCAGGCCATGACGATTGTGGGGCGTTCACTATATATATATATATATATCATCACATATATATAATATATATATCGTCAAATATATATATATATATATATGATCAAACAGAGCTGCCCGGTAAATCGTAGGCAAAGAGGGAGAAGAGGACAACAAACGAGGGGTTGTGGCAAACTGTTTCGTCGGAGTTTCACCGACTCATCAGGAGGCTGAACCCTCAACAGTCCGCAAAATCCCCTATCTCATTACACTGTAAGTGATAATCCACCCTAACCCCGACTGTGGTTAAGCATCAACGACTGCCCGACAAGGCTCGGTGGGTAGCTGCTTGGAGTGGCTCGGTGGGTAGGTGCTTGGAGTGGCTTGGTGGGTAGGTGCTTGGAATGGATCGGTGGGTAGGTGCCTGGGGAGTGGCTCGGTGGGTAGGTGCTTGGA